TTAAAACTCTCTTGGTAAATAGTGTGGTCTACAGCTTATCATGAGATACTCTACCTCAGGCGAGCAAAACCTTGAGACTTCCTTAAAATTTGATTTTGCGCACCAGCTGTTATTGACAAATAGACACAGACCGCCACCCCTTCTCTTACCGGAGGCAGCAGTTCTGTCTTGCTGATGCACGAAAAAAAACAGCTAACTCGTCGTTCAGCCACGATTCGGTGAAACATAAGATATTACAGTTTTCTATGTCCCTTGGTAGGATAGTCTTGAACGGAGCTCATCCAGTTTATTCTCCAGTGATTGCACGTTGGCCAATAGGACGGATGGTAGAGGCGGGTTACCCACTCGCCGACCAATTCTCACAAGGCACCCGGACCTGCGTCTTCTCTTCACGCGAATGATGGGGATTTGGCCCTTGTCGGGTATCCGGAGTAAATCCTTTGCGTCCGACTCGTCAAAGAAAAAAATATTTGTCCAGTTCGAGGTGAGTAGTGGCTGTTCTGATATCCAGAAGCTCTTTTCGGTCATAAGAGACGGTGGCAGAAACATTATGTACAAAATAAGTTACAAATAACACGAAAAAACACATAAAATAGGACAATTGGTTAGGAGCCCGTGAAACGGCAGCCATCTCCTCCGCGCCATTATTAATTTAATTAATTATTAGGGTAGGTTGTAACTTGATCCTACTGCTACGATTGGATAGAGTGAGGCTGTAACTCCGCTCCCTTTCACATCTCCCTCCTCCGCTCATATCACTTGCTGCCGTTTACTGCTGCTATGAGAACTAGCTCAAAGGCGATGATATTTGCCACCAAGCCATAAATGTGCATAATATCTAACAGGAAGAGCGACGGTATGAGAAAATATGAAATGACGCTGCACATCGTGCCTGAATGACTCAAATCCGCCCATAGTTTGAGAAGTGAGAACGCACACAGACGCGCTGATCTACAGCTCTCTAGGTCCATAAACATGCGGGAAGATCCTTAGGTAGCTAAACCTATTGCCAACCTTCATTTAGACAATTTAAAACACTCACTTCTTTCCGACAATCATCAACTGTCAATTTATGGATACGATTGCGGCTGGTCAGATCAACACACCAGTAAATAGCTAACGTTGGACTGCAAGTCAGATGGCTATTAGCTCCTATCTGATATCTTAGCACGTATATGTATATCAAGCCAGCTAGCATAGTAACAGGTCACATAGACATCTGCTTAGCTAGCTTGCTTATTGCATGTCCGAGCACGTCGAGACGAGCCTTATTATTAGTGAAATAACTAAACTAATATTTGCAACAGGAGTTTGATTTTGGTCACTGTGTCAATTCATCTGTTTCTCAATACTGAACCTTTCTGTTGTAGAATGAGCTGCTGCTCTTCCCAGTGTTCAGTGCTCATGACTCAGGCGGTGAGTGGCGGCTGGCAAAGCAGCTTTGCTATGTAGAGGAACTATCGGCAAAAATCGACAGCGAAGGGCCGACAGACTATAAAAAGGCCAATATCAGCCCGATATATCGGCTCGGCCAATTATCAGTCGTTCTCTTTTTTTTTAAATCTGTTAACAACGCGTTCCAACACATGTGCTGCTTGAATTTGTGTTTGTGTGTGTTTTTAGATATAGCCTACAGTGGAGAATGCCATGCTGTCACAGTCACTAGCCCATTCAAGCTTAACATCCTTGTCATTTATCGCCCTCCAGGTTCCCTTGGAGAGTTCATCAATGAGCTTGACGCCTTGATAAGTTCCTTTCCTGAGGATGGCTCACCCCTCACAGTTCTGGGTGACTTTAACCTCCCTACGTCTACCTTTGACTCATTTCTCTCTGCCTCCTTCTTGCCACTCCTCTCCTCTTTTGACCTCACCCTCTCACCGTCCCCCCCTACTCACAAGGCAGGCAATACGCTTGACATCATCTTTACTAGATGCTGTTCTTCTACTAATCTCACTGCAACGCCCCTCCATGTCCCCGACCACTACTTTGTATCCTTTTCTCTCTCGCTTTCCTCCAACACTACTCACTCTGCCCCTACTCAGATGGTAATGTGCCGTCGCAACCTTCGCTCCATCTCTCCCGCTACTCTCTCCTCTTCTATCCTATCATCTCTTCCCTCTGCTAAATCCTATTCCCTCCGATCTCCTGATTCTGCCTCCTCAACCCTCTCCTCCCTTTCTGCATCTTTTGACTCTCTATGTCCCCTATCCTCCCGGCCGGCTCGGTCCTCCCCTCCTGCTCCGTGGCTTGATGACTCATTGCGAGCTCACAGAAGAGGGCTCCGGGCAGCCGAGCGGAAATGGAGGAAAACTAGACTCCTTGCGGACCTGGCATCTTTTCACTCCCTCCTCTCTACATTTCCTTCTTCTGTTTCCGCTGCTAAAGACACTTTCTACCATTCTAAATTCCAAGCATCTGCCTCTAACCCTAGGAAGCTCTTTGCCACCTTCTCCTCCCTGCTGAATCCTCCTCCCCCTCCTCCCTCTCTGTGGATGACTTCGTCAACCATTTTGAAAAGAAGGTTGACGACATCCGATCCTCGTTTGTTAAGTCAAATAACACTGCTGGTCCTGCTCACACTGCCCTACCCTATGCTTTGACTTCTTTCTCCCCTCTCTCTCCAGATGAAATCTTGCGACTTGTGACGGCCGGCCGCCCAACAACCTGCCCGCTTGACCCTATCCCCTCCTCTCTTCTCCAGACCATCTCCGGTGACCTTCTCCCTTACCTCACCTCGCTGATCAACTCATCCTTGACCGCTGGCTATGTCCCTTCCGTCTTCAAGAGAGCGAGAGTTGCACCCCTTCTCAAAAACCAACACTCGATCCCTCTGATGTCAACAACTACAGACCAGTATCCCTTCTTTCTTTTCTCTCCAAAACTATTGAGCGTGCCATCTTTAGCCAACTCTCTTGCTATCTCTCTCAGAATGACCTTCTTGATCCAAACCAGTCAGGTTTCAAGACTGGTCATTCAACTGAGACTGCTCTTCTCTGTGTCACGGAGGCTCTCCGCACTGCTAAAGCTAACGCTCTCTCCTCTGCTCTTGTCCTTCTAGACCTGTCTGCTGCCTTTGATACTGTGAACCATCAGATCCTCCTCTCCACCCTCTCCGAGTTGGGCATCTCCGGCGCGGCTCACTCCTGGATTGCGTCCTACCTGACAGGTCGCTCCTACCAAGTGGCGTGGCGAGAATCTGTCTCTGCACCACGTGCTCTCACCACTGGTGTCCCCCAAGGCTCAGTTCTAGGCCCTCTCCTATTCTCGCTATACACCAAGTCACTTGGCTCTGTCATATCCTCACATGGCCTCTCCTATCATTGCTACGCAGACGACACACAACTAATCTTCTCCTTTCCCCCTTCTGATTACCAGGTGGCGAATCGCATCTCTGCATGTCTGGCAGACATATCAGTGTGGATGACGGATCACCACCTCAAGCTGAACCTTGGCAAGACGGAGCTGCTCTGCCTCCCGGGGAAGGACTGCCCGTTCCATGATCCCGCCATCACGGTTGACAACTCCGTTGTGTCCTCCTCCCAGAGTGCAAAGAGCCTTGGCGTGACCCTGGACAACACCCTGTCGTTCTCCGCTAACATCAAGGCGGTGACCCGATCCTGTAGGTTCATGCTCTACAACATTCGGAGTACGACCCTGCCTTACACAGGAAGCGGCACAGGTCCTAATCCAGGCACTTGTCATCTCCCGTCTGGATTACTGCAACTCGCTGTTGGCTGGGCTCTCTGCCTGTGCCATTAAACCCCTACAACTCATCCAGAATGTCGCAGCCCGTCTGGTGTTCAACCTTCCCAAGTTCTCTCACGTCACCCCCCTCCTCCGCACACTCCACTGGCTTCCAGTTGAAGCTTGCATCTGCTACAAGATCATGGTGGTCCTCTGTAGCTCAGCTGGTAGAGCACGGCGCTTGTAACGCCAAGGTAGTGGGTTCGATCCCCGGGACCACCAATACACAAAAATATATATATATATATGTATGCACGCATGACTGTAAGTCGCTTTGTATAAAAGCGTCTGCTAAGTGGCATATTATATTATATTATTATATATTATATTATATGGTGCTTGCCTATGGAGCTGTGAGGGGAACGGCACCTCCGTACCTTCAGGCTCTGATCAGTCCCTACACCCAAACGAGGGCATTGCGTTCATCCACCTCTGGCCTGCTAGCCCCCCTACCTCTGCGGAAGCACAGTTCCCGCTCAGCCCAGTCAAAACTGTTCGCTGCTCTGGCACCCCAATGGTGGATCAAGCTCCCTCACGACGCCAGGACAGCGGAGTCACTCACCACCTTCCGGAGACACTTGAAACCCCACCTCTTTAAAGAATACCTGGGATAGGATAAAGTAATCCTTCTACCCCCCCATAAAATTAAAAATAACATATTGTAAAGTGGTTATCCCACTGGCTATAAGGTGAATGCACCAATGTGTAAGTCGCTCTGGATAAGAGCGTCTGCTAAATGACGTAAATGTAACATAAGCTAATGAAAATGCTAGTGTATTTTAATTTGTTTAAGTATTCTAATGTTACCTAAGACCTTCATAAACACAACCAAATGATTATTTTAGCGATAGCATATAATAAATATTTTAATTACACTGTTAGAATGTTGCAGTCAGAATGACTGCTCGTTAGCTTGAAGGGGGTGGTCCATCGAGACCCAGCGGTTCGTTAGCTTGAAGGGGGCGGTCCATCGAGACCCAGCGGTTCTAGTGTTAAACTTGGCAGCGCTTAGCAGGTATTGTAACGGTACTGACTTGGCAGTAGGTCATGTAACGGTGCTGACTCGGCAGTAGGTCATGTAACGGTGCTGACTCGGCAGTAGGTCATGTAACAGAACTGACTTGCCAGTGCATAGTAATGTAAGGTAATGTAAACGTAACATCATTGATTTTGGCAGTGTGTAGTGTAACGGTACTGACTTCACATGGTAAACGTAACAGCACTGACATGTGTAGGGTAATAGGTACTATAACAAA